GGCCTGTGGTTCTAGCCAGAACCTAGGCTAACCCACCTGTCTGGACTCACAATACTGTGCTCTTACTCTCTCTCCTACCCATCAGGACCATTTTTAGAAGCCAATGAGATTCCCCTAAAGAGTTTTGCTTTAACTCACATAGAGAAAAAGGCATCATAGTAGTTGGATGAGAGAATTCAAGCATAGGGGGTGCTGAGGCAGGAGGATCATGAATTGGAGGCCACCCTGAGCTATATAACAAAAACCAGTCTCCAACAACAACAAAAAGAGTAACATTAAAACTTGATTGAAATGTGTTGATCCAAATTAATTGTACTGAGAAGGAAAAACACAGAGTATATTTTGAATTATTCAATGATGTAGGTTTTGAAAAAATATTTGCATGCCTCAAAGAAGCAGTGAAGGAAGTGAGAGTTCTCCCATAATCCCAGTCCCTAAGAATATTCTCCAGATAAAGACGGTGACAGATAAGGCGGTCATGACTCCACCTTCTCCCTGCACACTCAAGATGCATGTAAAAGAAACAGAGACAGAAACATGGGAGCTAAAGAGGATTCTATTCATAAGTGAATGGAGCATGTGGGTTGATTTTCTTTTTTATGATGTTTTTATGATGTTTTTATGTGTATGTATGAGTGTCTAAATGAGTCTATTTTACCTGCATGTGTATGCAGGTACCCAAGGGGTCCGAAAGAAGGTTCGGATCACCAGGAAATGGAGCCACAGAGCATGTGAGTTGCCTGTTGTAAGACTTGGGGACCAAACCTGCGTCCTCTGCAAAAACGGCCAGTGCTCTTGACCGCTGAGCTGTCCCTCGGGCCCCTGTTTCCTTTTCTGGGTTACTAATACAAACATTGTTGCAGAGAATGATCTCAACAGCTACATGTCTGAATGAAGCTTTGTTTTGTTATGTTTGGTTTTAGTTTTTGGTTTTGGGGATTTTGTTTGTTTGTTTGGTTAGGTTTGGTATGGTTTTTGGTTTTTGGAGACAGGGTTTCTCTGTGTAACAGCCCTAGCTGTCCTGGAACTCGCTTTGTAGACCAGGCTGGCCTTGAATTCACAGAGATCCGCCTGCTTCTGCTTCCCGAGTGCTGAGATTAAAGGCATCTACTGGCACTGACTGGCCTGAAAAGAGTTTTTATACAGAATAAATGCTTGAAAACACTAAAAGGAGGGGCTGGAGAGATGGCTCCGAGGTTAAGAGCACTGGCTGCTCTTCCAGAGGTCCTGGTTCAATTCCCAGCAACCACATGGTGGCTCACAACCATCTGTCATGAGATCTGGCGCCTTCTTCTGGTGCTCAGGGACACACGCAGGCAGAGCACTGTATACATAATAAATAAATACATCTTTTGAGAAAAGGAAAATGCTGTGGTGGGTTTAATGCATGTCCTCAACTTTACCCCACACTTGTGCCACCACAGGTGGGTTATTATCAATATTATTACCTCTCCCCTGAACATTATGGTGGTTTGAGAGAAAATGGTCCCCATACACATAGGAGGGAGTGTGTCCTTGGGGGGTGAACTTTGAAGCTTCAGAGGCTCAAGCCAGGCCCAGTGGCTCACAGACTCTTCCTGTTGCCTACAAACGTAGATGGAGAACTCTCAGCTCCCTCTCCAGCACCATGTCTGCCTGCACGCCACCATGCCTCCCACCATGATGATAATGGACTAAACCTCTCAACTGTAAGTCAGCCCCCAATGAAATGTTTTCTTTTATAAGAGTAGCCTTGCTCCTGGTGTCTCTTCACAGCAATAGGAACCCTACCCGAGACAATTATGGTCCAGAGTACTCACTTCCAAGGTACACAGATGATATAAATGAGCCAAGATGGCTTTTGTAGTTTGGGTAGGAGGGGTATACGATTCCAGTTTGGCTCTTTCCTTTTTAAGTGCTTGATATCTGAACTGTCAACTTGACTGGCTCTGAGGTCACCTGGGAGAGACGCCTCTGGCAGTGTCTGTGAAGGGCGATGAGGAAGGCATGCGCACACTGACCCAGTTCTGTTCATCCCGCAGCAGACTTAGTGCAAGCCTCCTCAAAATCCCATGGTGCCCTTTAATCCCAGCACATGGGAGACAGAGGCAGGGAGCTCACTGTGAGTTCAAGACCAGCCTGCCTACAAAAGGGAGCTCCAGAACAGCCAGGACTGTTGCACAGAGAAACCCTGTCCCAAAGAAACAAATGAAAAACCTCTCTGACTCATTATTTGTGATGACGTGGACAGAATTGGAAGCCATTCTGTTCAATGAGAGACTACGCCAAGCACGGAAGACCAGTCCACCGGTTCCCACTTGCTTGTTGGATCTAAGCTAGTGAAATTCAGAGATGTAGAGAGCAATGGGGAGGTTGCCAGGGGTTCAGGAAGGGGAGAGCTAGGGGACACCAATCGAAGGGACAAAGGCTTATTAGACAAAAGAAATGATTGTTATTTTGGGGGGCCTCTATGAATGTAACATGAGAAACAGCAAAAGGAAGACTGTACATTTTGAAGCTTTAAACCATAATTTCCAATGACCGCATCACAAAAAAATGATGTGCTTGAAGCTCCACCCTGACCTCCTCATACCTGCTGTAGCACTCGGGTGCTCCGCACTGCAAACAGATAGATAAATGTAAACATAACAAAGAACACTATATGAGATGATAGATAACATCCATGTGTTCTTCATCCATGGAGAAGGCTTCAAGTCAGCCCTGGCCTGGCCCCTGCCCAGGCTGCCAGGAAGCTGTGGGTCTTTGCTCAGAGTTAATAAGTGTGCATCTGGGAACTCGTTCAACAGACTTTAAAAACAGCTAACTTCCAAAGTTGGGTTTAGTCCGTGTGTCTTAGAGGAGACCCTAGCAAGCCTTCTTCACCTGGCCCTTAACTCTTATTACCACGCCCATCGGATGACTAGCCATGGCTGGAACTGTGTGTCTCGAGATAAGCATCACCCTTCCGAGGGGTCACAGTGATGCCAGCCTCAGCTATGACTTGTCCCTGTCCTGGTGGTTCTAATTCTGCATTTACCTGGGTGCTCATGACTCATCAGCACCCACCATGTGCAGAACAAACTCCCAAACATCTCTATATCTGGTTGCATCCGCATCTGACCTACAGCTGCCAGCTGTGGCCCCTCCCCTCCATTCTCTCTCTTGTATCTAAGGCTCTGCATGCCCCTATTATGTCACAGGCAAAATCCTTCTCAACTGTGAAGACCAAACCCCTGCTGCCTCTTTCATAATGAACTTTATGAAACACACATGCCTTAGGGTCCCTCTTGCTGTGAAGAGACGCCATGACCACAACAACTCTTATAAAGGAAAACATTTCATTGGGTGACTTATAGTCAAACAGACCTGGGGCTGGAGGAACTGAGAGTCCTACATCTTGATCCAAAAGCAACAGGAAGTGAACTGTGACACTAGGCGTACCTTGAGCATAGGAGACCTCAAAACCCACCCCCACAGCAACACACTTCCTCCGACAAATCACACCTACTCCAACAAGGCCACACCTCCTAATAGTGCCGCTCCCTATGAGCTTATGGGGACCAATTACATTCTAACTATCACACAATGTCTGCTCAGTCCAGAGAGGGAGCCTACAATAGAAAAGAGTGTGGGTACCGTAAAAGGCCAACTAGGTGAACCACTGAGGTTTAGGGGGTTCTTTAAGGAGATATGGGTGAGAGGCTGCTTACAGAGATAGTGACTCAAAGACAGCTGTGTCACCAAAGCCCACCCCAGCACAGATGACAGCTCACAAAAGCTGAGAACCCGGAGCACAGTGCACAGCCTACAGGCAGCTCAGCAGGTTGGGGAGTGTGTTTTCCAGGTGGCTCAGTTGGTCTGAGCCTCTTTCAGGTAACTCTGGTGGCCTCTGGTTCTTCCAGGCCACTTGGCTGGTCTCAGAGTCTCATCCATGCCACCCAGTGGCTGAGCCCCAGGCACCAAAGTATCCCTCCATTTTGGGCACCTCTGTCTTCACTTGGTTGCTTCTGCTCTCTCCTGGCAGTGCAAGGACTGAGCACCTTGCCTTGCAGGAGCCAGGCACAGAGTGTCAGGGAAGGGACAAGGGGAGTCTATCAACAATTCCTTCCAGGAAGCCCCATGATGGTGAGGACGAGAGGTGGAGAGCCTGGAACAGAAGGGATGGGGGTGTCTGAGTCTGAAAAAAAAAAAACAAACCCTACTGGTGTCACTGAGGGAGCTGGACTGCTCAGGATTAGAGAAGAAACAGAAGTGGAGGGTTCACACCAGGACCCCCACCCTAAGTCCTCAGTATGCCTTTTATGATGGGCTAAACTCAAGGCCACCTGACATTCACTTGCCGCTGATTGATTCTTACCTGCTGATTGGATTTAGGAAAGCCTTCCGTGTGGTCTGGAGTGTGGCTCGGTGCCTACAGGTGCTGCCCACGGGTGGTTGGGAAGAACAATGACGGCGCTCTCTGAGCTTTCAGAACTTTGGTGTTCTGTCTAGTTATGTTAACTTGGCCCAAGCTAGAAAATGCCTCCATAAGATCCAACTGTAGGGCATTTTCTTAATTAGTCATTGATGGGGGAGTGTCCAGTCCACTGTAGGTGGTACCATCCCTGAGCTGGTGGTCCTGGTTCCCGCGAGAAACAAGGCTGAGCAAGCCCTCCTCCACGGCCTCCGCATCAGTTCCTATCTACAGGTTTTAGCCCAGTTTGAGTTTCTATCCAGACTTCCTTCATTGATAGACTACGATGTATAAGCCAAATAAACCCTTTCCTCCCCCAAGTTACTTTGGATGTGGTGTTTAATCGCAACAGTAGAAATTCTAACGAAGACAATTGATAAGATGTCTTCACTTTCTGCCCCGGGCCGCACATTCCTTCTGTGTCTGGGTCGCGTCCCCTTGGGAGCCTGCGGTGTCCACCAGGGGGCAGCACAGGATCGTACTCCGCTCACCTGCCCACGCAGCTCTCCAGAGCACCGCCTCCTGGGAACCTAGCGACACTGTCCCGCCCTCCGCCCCAGGGGAGGAGCTAGGCAAAGCACAGACAGTCTGCACCCCACAGAGGGGCTCAGTTATCCTCCGCGAGCTTTCAGCGGGGTCCACCCCCTCCCTTGTGTACTCGGGAGCCGCCTGTTCCCTGGGCGACAGTCAACACAGACAGGACTGCAAAACACATTTGGGTCCCAGCCTGAAGAGTTCTGTCCCCAGCAGTCACTCTGAACTCGGGATCTGGTGGGAGGACCTTGTGCAGGCTTTCCTGGGTTAAGAAAAGAATCTTCGTCTCATTTCTCTCTTTTTCTCCCTCTCCTGCTTTCCCCAGTCCGCTATGGGCAGCCAACACACTGGACTCCAAAGAACCACGTCATCCAGGTACCGACCGCCCCCTACTAGGCCTCTTGCCTTAGTTTCCAGGACCCAGGATGGCCCTGCAGCAAGCAGAGGTCTTGCTGGTGGCTGCCAGGGTACCGCAGCCCAGGGTGTACAGCAGGACCAGCTGTGGAGGGAACTTGTGGAAGCCGAAGTTCGAGGCCAGCAGCGTTGGTGAGTGTCCTGTCCCCGCTTCCCTTCTCCTCCAGGCCTCCCCACACTCCCACCTGCCTTTGAGTGTGGGAAGGTGCTGGGAAAGGAAGAATATATGGAAAAGAGATTAGGACAGGGAGAACATTAAAGTAGGGTGTGAGGGAGGGTCTGAAGCCAATACAGGAGCCCAGGGCTTCAGTCCCAGCAGGTGGCTGGGAATATAGACACAGAGGGGGCCCTGGTCCCATCTCCTAGCAATCTCTCCAGATAGACATGGCCGATTAGATGGGAAGCTGGTGTTGGGAAACTAAGCTCTACCTGGGGAGGAATGCTGGTCTGGGGGTGGCAGTGGGGGGCCTCCTTCTTGCCTTCATTCAACAAAGGATACTCATGAGCCTTTGTGGGCTGCCAGGGGAAGCTGGGTAGGTTTGACCAGGGTTCCAAGGGGGCCTCCCTTCCAGGACCCCCAGAGAAGCAGGTAAGTAAACTAAGCAAGGAGGGACGATGCCTCCGAACTGTATGCCCAGTTTGAGTTTGGAGTTTGTAAGACAAACAAAACCGAAGGCCATGGAGTGGTGAAGCACAGTAAGGAGGAAGATGGCTATGGAGCGACCACCCATGCAGTTGTGAAAGTGTAGCTAGAAGTTTCTGTCCCGCCTAGTCCCACAGCCGGTCAGTCCCAAAGAAACACACAGAGGCTTAGATTTATTATAAACTGTTTGCCCTATTAGGTCAGGCTTGTAATTACCTAGCTCTTACAACTTCAATTAACCCATAATTCTTATCTATGTTTAGCCATGTGGCCTCATATTTTTTTCTCAGTGAGGCATTCTCAGCTTGCTTCCTCTACATCTGGGTGGTGACTGCAAACTGAGCCTTTCTTCTTCCCAGAATTCTCCTCATCTGGTTGTGCCGCCTGAACTTCCTGCCTGGCTACTAGCCAATCAGCATTATATTAATCCAATACAGGTGACAGATCTTTACAGTGTACAAGAGCATTATCCCACAGCGGAAAGTCTAGATGAAGGCTCCCCAAACGCACGCGCTGTCCAGGGCTTTGCACGTGGTTGCGTTTTTAGTTTCTTTTCCTCCCTATTTTCGTCTGGCCATCAAACTCAAGGCTTTGGACAGGCAGCAGACACTCTGTCATGGAATTTATCCCCATAAGCAAATGCCAGTTAAGATCACAACAAGACCCTGTCTCAAACAAACAAACAAAATCAAGGTCATCTTCAGCTACATAGTGAGTTCTAAACTAACCTGGACTAAACAGACAAATGAATAAATAAGGAAGCTAAACACGAAGTGTTAAACGTATAACATCTGGAGTAAGAATTGGTGGAAATTACAAAAAACAGATAGAAAAAGTCACTGGCCACTCTGTGGGCTGCTCCCTAAATATAACATGGGCACTTGGCATTATTATTGGGGTTACATAGCATTTTAACTCCTCCGTGATGATAAAAAAGACTTCAAGATATGGTGAAAGTCATTCTTCAAAATATTCCAGAAAACAAAGCAAACAAACCCACTCACATTCCTGTACTTTCCTTTCCAGGGCTGAGAATTGGGGTTTCCTGAAAGACTATGACCCTTTGGTAAGGCAGTACCCCCTCCAGAAAGCTGCTTACAGTGTCAACATTCATTCTTTCTTCATATCTTCACGGGGCCAGGGACCTGAGGTGTCTTCTCTCCTCAGGGAAATAAGAAGGAACCTGAGGAGCTCCCTGAAGGCGTACCCTTCTTCTCAGACACACTCCCCAGCTCCACGAGCCGGGAGGTGGGCAGTAGAGTGGACACGACCCTGGGGAGAGCCCTTACCCACATGGATTTCTTCTTCACGGAAGGCACGCGGAAGAAGAAGCTGGAGGATGAGCTGCAGCCGGTGTAGGGATCTCAGGACGGACCCCAGCAGGTAGGTGTGGAATGGACAGAGTCCAGGAGGCCAGAGTGTGTGTGCTCTTGGGTCAGTCTCTTCTGGGGCAGGAGGAGGATTCCAGAAACACCCCTAGGACCACAGAACCTCACTCAGCCCTTCTGCTGGGGTAAGGACCCCAGACTTAAAGTGGGAACCCAGTGTTAAAGGTGGGAACGAATTTAATGGGTTCAGTCTGACTTTATAACCATGAGGTTGCTTACAGTTTCTGCCTCTGTCTGTCTGTCTGTCTGTGGGTGCTGGGGCACCTCAACCTGACTTCATGCATTGGGAGGAGGCGGGGCAAGCTGGTAGCACACGGCCTTGGGATCTGACCCAAAGGCTGCTCTTGGTGCCGCCAATTTGTAGGTGGAGGCCACTTGTTCATTCCCGGCTGCCCAGACCATGAAATAATCACAAAGAAACTGTATTAATTAAATCACTGCTTGGCCAATCACTTAAGCATATTTCTGGCTAACTCTATCCTAAACTAACCTGTATCCATTAATCTGTGCATCACCATGACATCGTGGCCTACCTGCAAAATTCTAGCATGTCTGTCTCTGGTGGAGACTACATGGCTTCTCCCCGACTCTGCCTTCTTTCCTCCTCTATCTGCTTGGAATTTCTGCCTTGCTCTATTCTGCTAAGCCACTGGCCAGATATATTCATTAACCAATAAAAGCAACACATATACAGAAGGACTTCCCACACCAGTCTGCAGCCTTCTTTCTGGGAGTCTAAGGTCAAAGTGAGTTGTCCTGACCAATTCAAGATCACAGGAGCGATGGCGGCTCAGCAGCTAAAAGCACTTGCAGAGACCTAGGTTCCATCCCCAGCACCTGCCTCGTGGCTAACAGTTATCTGTAACTCTAGCTCCAAGGAATCCAGTGCCCTCTCTGGCCTCTAAGGGCACTTGAATGCACAGACAAATACACAGATATATACACATAAACCTAGAAACAAAACAAACAAACAAAAAGCAAACGGAAGTCAAGGTTCACTTCAGCTGCAGGTGGTTTCCCTCAAGCACACTAGAGGATCTCATAAAGACTTCTCTAATCTGTCTCCTGGGGCATGGGACCGGGAGCCCAGAACTGGTTCCCAAGCCTACAAGCACAGCCATTTATAGATGGTGCAAAGTTTAAGCCCAAATCACCTTCTTCACAGGTATTTTTGTCATTAGCCAAGAAGTCTAGAAGCCAAGGCAAGTGTCTGGGCCAGACTGGTCAATTCCCTGTGATGTCTGACTTAGGGCAGCGATACCCATCCTGGCCTTCATCTCCATAGTCAGAGGATGGGCAGGAAAGGGGAGGAGACAGGTCTCAAGGCTATCACAGGGCTGTTTTTCTCTAGAGCACACTGGTCAGAAGGGAACAAACAGAACAGCTCACCGCCTCCTTTCCCATGCATAGACCTTGACTGGAACACCATGCTGGAGATCTTGTCTACATATCTCTCAGTTGTTTGAACCAAGAGGCTCCTGGGGTACAAGCTTCTCTCTGCTCATCTGTAACATGAGGGCCGGCTTGTTGGGGTTTCTATCCCGCCCCGGTACCCCACAGCCGGCAAATCCCAAAGAAAATCAGACACAGGACTCTATAAGATTATAAACTGATTGGCCCATTAGGTCAGGCTACTTATTAGCTCTTATAACTTATGTTACCCCATTATTCTGATCTATGTTAGCCACGTGGCTTGGTACCGTTTTCAGCTGTCAGCTTACATGTTGCCTCTTTGGTGGTCTGTGCAGGAGTGGCAGAGGAACCTCCTTGCTTCCAGAATTCTCCTGTTCTCATTGCATCACCTCTACTTCCTGTCTGGTTTTTCCCACCCATACTGCCTGCCTGGCCAATCAGCGTTTTATTAAAATATGATTGACAGAATACAGACAATTCTCCCGCATCATTTCCCTCTTTTTTTTTTTAAACAAAGGAAAATACCCATAGTCCATTTGTTGGGAATGTGGGCGTAGTATTTTAGGCTACTTCCTGCTGGTTGGGGGCGCTGATGATCTTATGGGGACCTAAAGAAAATTTAGAGTTAAAATCAAGTCCTGACTGAAGTATCCTGTGAGTCTTGATCATCTCAGGCAGCAGTCTTGAATCTGTTCTGGATGTAGAACTCAAACATCTGGGCCATCTGTTCCTGTCGGAGATTTCTCAGGTGGCCTTCCTTGATCAAAGATGATTTTTCTTAACTCTGAATAAATCCAGAGCCTCTCATTTTCTGTGGGAACAAAAGCAAAATCTCTTCTCCAAAGTAGCATACCTTTTTGACTTCAATTTTGAAGCAAAGGTATTTTCAAAATACCTATCTTGGATTAATTCTACAGCATTTATAAACAAAAGTCTTTTCGCAGCTGTTGCTCCTTCCTCAGCATTTAAACAATATAAAGAGTATAATAGCATACAGTATCAAGATTCTCTGTTTATTTTCCGTCTTTATGCAACTTTATTTCAACCTCTATTTCTTTTATTTTTACTTTTAACTTTTGGCTTTTTGAGACAGGTTCTCTGTATATATCTTTGTCCTGGAATAACTCTGTAGACCAGGCTGTCCTTGAACTCACAGAGATCCCTCTGTCTCTGCCTCCCCAGTGCTGGGATTAAAGGTGTATGCTACCACACCTTGAATTCACAGAGATCTGTCTCTGCCTCCCAGGCATTGGGATTAAAGGTGTGTACCACCACACCCTATTTCTCCCTTTCTTTCTTTTTTATTTTTAATGACTTTAACCTTTATCCTGCATATATTTTTAACAAACTGTAAACTCTTTAGAGGTTTTCTTCACTCATCTCCAGAGTACCAAGAGAGCCGGAAGGAGAGAATGCCATACTGTGTCTGCGTGACTCTGCAGGTCGCAGCCCCCCCACACTCTCCACCCCACATACTGCCACCCCTGTCACATTTCAGGCTCTTCAGGAAGGTGTCTGCTTTGACCTTCACTGTCCCACCCACGGGCTAAGGAAATGGCAATGGAGGGTCCGGCCACCAGTGCCTTCTGTCTTTGGGACCAGAACAAAGAAGGCTGGATGAGCCAGGCAGCCAGCCTCCAGGCCTAGACATGGGGAAGAAGCACCAGAGCTCCATGGCCTCACTGGAATTCCTAGGGAGCTTTATCTAGACAGTCAACCAGAGCAGCTCAGAGTCCACAGGCCGGGCAGCACCAGGGGTCCAGAAGGGTCAAGTCTGGAAGCTAAGGCCCACAGCAGGGCAGGAAGGAGCCCCTTTCACTCTAGACCACTGCTTCTCTGAGCATCTCTGCCTCCCTCTGCTCTGTGATAGACGCTACCCCTACTTCCAGTGATAAAGAATGACCGCCTGCCATGGAGACACAGAGTGACCCTTGGGCATCTTCCTGTACTAGACATGATGAGGTAGTGTAAAAAGACACATGAGTTATTCTGAGGGTGCCTATCCACCAAGTTTAGAACAATGTCGATGTCAGCATGAAGGAAAAGTAGAGGGCCAACCCTGGCTACACCCCTGACTCATGTGCACACACAAACACACATACACATGATTAAAAAGAATTGCATTTTTTTTCAAATACTGAACTCTTGAGAATTACCAAATAAAGAACAGAAATATCGTCATTTTAGGCCCAACACTCATAACTAATGTAGGTATGAATTAATAAAGGCCATAGAAACCTTAGGTTAGAGATTCAGAGGGACCCCCATCAGGAGAAGGGCAGCTGACACAATGTACCTCCCAAAATGACACTCTGGAGCTATCCAAGGAGTTCTCCCTTGAGACAGAGTATGTGTGACCCGAGAGCTACCAGGAAAGGACAGACGCACATCCTTGCCACTTCGTGAAAGACAAAGGGAGCTGAGGCAGTGGCCCAGGTGAAAGGCAGCCCAGGCCAAAGAGACTCTAGAGCACGCCGTGGGGAATAAATGCCGGAGAACAGGCGCACGGTGCACTACACCTGTGACATAGCGGAGAACAGGTTGGTCATGCTGCGCCGGTGTAGATCCCGGCTTCTGCAACTGAGCGGGAGTCAGGTAACTGTTTGTGGGGTCTGCAAAAATATGGTTGCAGTAAGTGTGCTGGACATGCCATGACCAAAATTAATTCAAAGACAAACATGAAATGTACTCCAGATGTTTCTGGCTGTGCTAGCCAGTTGTAGCCTGTGACTTCACCATGGCTGTGCCTCTGAATATACAGTGTGCGTGATTTGTAGTTAGCAGGCTGTCACACCACACAACCTCAAGAGATGCTACCTGCAGCAGGACATACAGGCACATGTACAAGACTTGGCACCTACCCACACATGTACACACATATGCATACACATACACACACGTACACACGCCACACATACACATGCACGCCCATGTGTACACACATGCACATGCATACACGTGTATACACATGCACACACACATGCACACAAACACACAATTGCTGCTCTACTTGACTCAAGTTTCATTTTTAAAAAAGGTGTTTGACTTGTGATTAATTTGCAGCAATTTCTAAAATAGTCTTAAACATACAGTGTCATTTTGTGTTAGCTATTCATGTAAAGGGGCATTCTCAGTATTGGAAGTTATAAAATCAAAATATCAAAGGGCTGGAGAGATGGCTCAGGGGCTAAGAGTACCGGTTGCTCTTCCAGAGGACCAAAGTTTGATATCTGACACTCACTTGGGAGCTCACGATTGTAGCTCCAGTTCCAGGGATCCAAGGTCCTCTTCTGACCTCCATGGGCATCAGGCATGTATGTGGTACAAGACATATATGCACGCAAAATACTCACACACATAAAATAGAAATTTTTTTTGAGTTAAAATAGAAATTTTTAAAAATTTAAAAATTAAATAAAAGAAAAATATCAGTCAACTCTGAAAAATTTTGAAAATGTTCGATTTTCCATCATATCAAATATTGAACCAAAATTTAATTCTGTGTGTGAAAATAAACAAAACCACCTCAGTATGCAAATTAACTTTCATCTTTAATAAATTATAAACTATGTGTAAACCAAAGAATTACTTTGAAAAAAAATTTTGATTTGTTATCAACTGGTGTTTGACTTATACAGTTTTTTTTTTTGTTGTTGTTGTTGTTTTTTAAGTTCAAGAATGTTTTTTGTTAGAGTTTGAGAAAAGCAAGGGCAGGCTCACCATTGATCTTGGGAAAAAGGAACCATATCCTTTATTTAGTAAGTAGCCACCTGGTAGCCCAGCAGCGGGTGTGATGCAAGAAGTGGGGGAGGGGAGTGTCTGGGAAAGGGAGGGAATCCAAGTGTCTGGGAAAGCATGCTTCCGAAAGAGACAGAGAAAGAAAAGACGAAAGGAAAATTATCCAGGCTGGTTCTACAAGTTGCTGCCTGATCACAGCACCTACGTCCTCATCCAGGGTCACAGGGACCTGTCTCCGGTGAGAGGTGCTGTGAGTGGGAGGCGCTTAAGAAGCTCTGAGTAGAGCACCTTAGTTTCCAGGGGCCATGCCCACCCGCTAAGTCACCTGATGTCTGCAGCCCACTGGCCAGTAGCTTATGTGTAGTAATAAATACAGGCAGGCAAGCCACGTGCAGAGCCTAGATGACATTCCTATAGGGTTAGACAGTTGTTTACCTCTATGGGATTTGGAGTCCTTTTGTTTTAGCTTTTACCCTCAAAATGGAACAAACTGCTACATTGTAAAATGGAGTTACTCAGGGCAAGGCTGAGCTAGGAGGCTGTTTGCTTTACACAAGTAAGTAATTTATGCAGTAAATAACTCGGACCAGAGCTGGCTCTATCATATCTCTGTTCTCAACTACTTTTCTTAGGTACAGAATTGCTGACTCAAGAGTGACATAGCCAAAGCGCAGAGAAACACACACACACACACACACACACACACAAACAACACACCCTTCATAGGAGCCTTTTGACTTCTTCCATGAGAAGGGTGAAGGCTTTGGTGAGGACTGGAGGCAAGGCGGAAGGTGTGTGCTGGTGCATGGTTTACAGCCCAGAATTACCGCAGACTAGCTGTGCATCTGTGTGTGTGTGTGTGTGTGTGTGTGTGTGTGTGTTCAGTCTCATAACCTTGTGATCTCCAGAGGAAAATGACCCCCTCTTCCAACCTTCTACCTAAATGGGCCGTGCCCAGTTGTGTTATTTCTCCCAGAGAGATATATGGCGGCACCAATTCATCCCAGGCAGGGCGCCAACAGATTATAGAGTCCGCCCAGTGAGTCTATTGGGATTGTTTATTGGGTGTTGATTCAAGAAAATTGCATCACTCGCTGGAGTCAGGTTGTCCCTGCTCCCTGCATGTAACTTAGTTTCCCTACTATTTACAATTTGTAACACCCTCCCTATCCCCACCTCCCAGTGGTGATCATAGCAGCCTCAGCCCTCCTTCCAGAGAGCAGGGATCCAATCTAGAGGAAACAGCAGCGCACTACAACAAACCCCTTTTGGTTTTTCGAGACGGGGTTTCTCTGTGTTGCTTTGGAGTCAGTCCTGGAACTAGTTCTTGTAGACCAGGCTGGCCTCGAACTCACAGAAATCCGTCTGCCTATGCCTCCTGTGTGCTGGGATTAAAGGTGTACGCCATGACCGCCCCGCAACCCCTTTCCAATAAGTTACCTATTAACTCTTTTTTAAAAGACTTATTTTATATATACAGTGTTCTGTAACATGTATGGTTGCACGCCAGAGGAGGGGCCAGAACTCTTTACAGATGGTTGTGAGTTACCACGTGATCGCTGGGAATTGAACTCAAGACGGGCTGGAGGAATAGCCGGTGCTTTCTTTTTCTTTTCTTTTTTAAAGATTTATTTACTTATTATGTATACAATATTCCTTCCATGTATGCCTGCAGGCCAGAAGAGGACACCAGATCTCATAGATGGTTGTGAGCATCTATACCATGTGGGAATTGAACCTAGGACCTCTGGAAGAACAGTCAGTGCTCTTAACCGCTGAATCATCTCTCCAGCCCCCACCTATTAACATTTTTGAGGCATGTATGTTTGTATTCTCAGCGGTGGGAAGGTTGAAAGAAAGAGGATCCCTGGGGTCACTTGGCCAGTTAGCCTCGCCTGTTTTGTGAGTTCCAAGCCAGTGAAGGTGTACGGTACTCCAGGAATGACACCTGAGGGTGTGTCCATTTGGCTTGCGCAAGCGCAGGTTCAAGCGCGTTCTCACGCGCACACAACAACAACAAAACACTAATAATAAAAATAAAAAGAGAAGGGAAGGAAGGAAAGAGCGAGCTCTCACATGATGCGATGGAACAAGTTAGAAGTCCCAGCAATTGCCAAAAGGCGGAGGGAAAAAAACAGAAGTTCAAAAAAAAACCAGCCTGGGTCACGTGACCCTGCTTCAACCCACCCACTATAGGTTCTGGATTGGAAAGAGGGCAGAAACAGGAGGGTCCGAGTTGAAAGTCGGCTTTGGTTCGCGCTGAGTTCAAGGCCAGACAGTCTGCTCGTGGGAGACCTTGTTTCAACAAAACATAACAGGAAAAGGAGCCTCCGGGTTTAGGGAGCAAGTTCATTAAGGAGATTAGCCTCCCCTGTTGACTTCTTATACCAACAGAAGGCTAGCTCCGAGTGACTGGGTTTCAGGGGCCTCGGCGTCCTCCGGCTTCTTCAGGCCAAGTCTGGGAGAATGCTGACGAGTTTGAACCAAAAAAAAAAAAAAGTTTTAATTTCTGAAAGGTTTAAAGTACAAGGATTAATTTACAGAGAGTGGAAAAACACTCGGAATCGCCTGAGCGGTAGGCCCTGTGCCCACCCAACCCCTGGGGAGGCTGGTCTGTCCCAGCATTTCCATTCCGCTAGAAAGGGCACCCGTGGGTGGAACCCGGAAAGTGAATCAGCAGCAGGCAGAACCCGGCAAGGCAGGACAGAGCACAGTCACCACCCCGGGGCTGGGAGTACCCGAAGCAGAGCAGACACGAGGCCGGGTGCACCCAGAGTGGAGCAGACACCGAGTGGGGAGCATCCTGAGCCGAGCAAGCTCGGGACGTTGTGCACCTGGAGTGGAACAAACACTGGGCAGGACGCACCCAAAGTGGAGCAGACTCGGGGCCGGGTGTACCGGGGTCGGAGCACATTGGGGCGGTGTGTGCACAGAGCATAGCAAACACAGGGCGGGGAGGTGCCTAGAGGGGAGGGGTGGGGGGTGGGGGAGGGGCCCACCCAGAGGGGCCCACCCAGGGCCCACCCAGAGCAGAACCGACTTGGGCGGGGAGCATCCAGAGTCCAGCCGACACAGGGCGGGGCGCACTCGGAGCGCAGCAGCTCGGGGCGTGGTTGGGGCGTCGCCCGTCCGGCGGGAAGGCGGAAGACTCTGGACCGTGAGCTCCTGGTTCTCACCCACGAGATTCCGCAGCCCCTTGACCCCACACTCCGGGGATTGCAGCATGGAGGCCGGGCTGCTGTGGTTCTGCAACTGGAGCACACTGGGCGTTTGCGCCGCACTCAAGCTGCCGCAGATCTACGCGCAGTTGGCGGCGCGCAGTGCGCGGGGCATCAGCCTCCCCAGTTTACTTTTGGAGTTGGCGGGGTAAGGTCCCGGGAGGCCTGCGAATCCGGGAGACCGAGGGTTAACTCGGGGGTCCCGGAGCTGGGAGGCGCTTTCCCGGGCGCTCCCACACACTTCCCTTGCTTCTCCCCAAAACCCGGAAGGTACGAAATGCCTGTGCACGCCCATCTTAGGGATTCAGCGAAGTCACCCCTACCCCCATCCGGTTCTTAGCTACTGCCTTCCAGCCGCGGGCGAAGCCATTTGCACCTGCAGTCCCTTAAGGTCCCTAACCTCACCCGGCACCACCCACATTTTTTTTTCCAGCCTAGAGTCCAGAGTCCCTTGCCTGTAAACCAGTGGTTGGGCTGAGATCTGAGTTACAAGATTTGATGATTCCATGTGGGAATGAAGAGGGGGAACTTGGGTCGGCGTTTGGAAGTTGGGCTGGGGTCCAACACGCAGGTTTGGGCAGTGGCTGCTGCAGGAGCCAAGTTATTGGTGACTTTGGCTAAGTAGTTAAGAGTAAGAGGTAAAGTTGTGAAACTTTGGTTGGGAAAAACAAATTAAATGGGAAACACGTCCCTGAGTCGCGCGATCTTGCACCAGGCAGCGCCCTCTCGGTTTGTCACCAGCCCCTCCCCGCTGTTAACCACACAGAAGAGAGCGCCCATCTGATAGGGTGGGCTTCAAGGTGCACCTTTTCAGAGAGCGGGCGGGAGGGTCCCTGGTCCGTTGGCTGCATAGAACAAGAGTATGTGCACTTGAGAGAGAGAGAGAGAGAGAGAGAGAGAGAGAGAGAGAGAGAGAGAGAGAGAGAG